AAAAAAAAAAAAAAAAAAAAAAAAAAAAAACACATCATAGTAAAATTAATACCTTCTCAGCTTCGCATCGAAGCTAAAAGTGTATAATTATATAAAAAAATTTTTTATAAAAAACTAGTTTTTTTGTAAACTTGTTATTTTGTTCCAGTCATCTTCGAATTTGACTGGAAAAATCACGCATAGGAGATCTTTCTTGTCAATTTTTGGTAAAGCATCTATTCCTAGAAATAATCTGTTTGTAGCCAATTCCAACAGATTGGAGAAGTAATATACACGCTGAAATTTTTTTTTAAGTTTAAGTTTTAAGATGGAAAAATCAAATATTTTTAAACATACTTTCATGTGTGGATAATCGCTGAAGGTAATTTTCGATGTGTTTTCTAGACATTTATCTATAAAATCCGTATGACAAATTTCGTGAAAATATAAAAAATCCATTGTTTTAATTAGGCTACAAATTAACCGTTTCTTTTCAACCACCATACGACCAATTGAAGTCTGAAGTATAACCTTTATTTCATATACAATACGCGGACATATATGAAACAATTGTCGATGTATTTTCTCAAATAACATATCTTTAATGAAGTGCAATTGCGCAAACTCAGTTTTTTTCATGGAAAATACATGGCCGTCATCACGTTTTGACTGAAACAGTAATGCAACTTCTCGGGTTAGCCTCCTCTGTGTCAGGCTCACCTTAATGTATTCATCTTGCAAAAGTATTATTCCGTTTAAATTTTCCGTTATCGATAAAATATATCCGCACATTGAAAACATTCTATATAGTAAATCGACAGTGATAATAAGTTCCTGATGATTGTTTACCAACATGACTTTTGGCCAAAATGAATCGTCCGGGTCCAGACCAATATATAGGCGAGACATTTGTGAAATTCTATATATTGATGAATCGATCAAGTCGTTGATTTTATTGAATTTGCACCTTGATGTAGCCATTTTGATTAAAGTCTCAAAATCCAATAGGCGTTACTGTCGCTGCGGTTCGCATTCGTCGTTTTTTCAATTGTTTCGATTGAATCAAAAAGTTCGTCATATATTCGCTTCACAACCGAGCAAGCACATTCAGGACTGTCCAAATTTTTTCCCGCATCCAATAATTCACAACCTTCGTAATATAAAAAATCTCCACCTACACCGTTGACTTTATCACCTAGACGTTCCGCAAAATTTTGCAAATCTCGATAATTTTTCAATAATTTACTGACTGATTTAAATACTCTATCTGTCAGATCGTTTTCAACAAGAAAATTTAATTTATCCTATATATCATTGAAATAATCCATCTTAGACGCACAATAAATTAACATGTACTGAGAACCGATTAGTAGTCAGCAGACAATGTTGTTGCTGCACGACATCATCCTTTCCAATCATCTGTTAGACAATTAATTCGTGATAACAGATGAGGTGTATACGAATAAGAAATTAAAGTATTAAGAGATAAATGACTGTAACGAATACTGGTCTTTCATACCCATGCATATACTACTATAAATCACAAACGAAAAATTCAGTTTTTCACATGACTGTTCTAGAAGTGTATAATTTGATACGTCTGCATGTCTAATTTATATACGTTCTAATTATTATAACTATAGTTATATTAGTTAAATACAGTAATTATTTATAACATTGAGAGGGATACGAGTAATAATTCAGACAAAAATATGTAAGAAATTAATCGATAAGTGTATTACAATAATAATAATATTATTATAATCATCAGAATATATGTTCCAGCAATTATTATCGTCGTCGTCGTCGGTAGTAGTAGTGTTTATTTAAGAATGTGTTTTGCTATAAGAAAACTCGAACAGTCGTCATTACTATATATTGTCGACAAAAAAAAATATTGATTTATTATTCACTATACGAATAACGGTCAAGCTTATAGCTCGTATATTAACAATTAATGTAATTGACGGCGACATCGCCGCCGCGTTAAGCCATTTGCTGTATTAATCTCCAGCGCTATAGTATAAAAATATATAATCATCAATACAGCCATCTGGCACACAATGTTTCGAACTAATTTTTTTTTTACAAATTAGGTAAAATTAACATTTTACGTACAGACTTTATCTAAATATATGCATGTCGCATATCAAAATAGCGGATTCAACGTTTAAAATTCATACTTTTCACCGTAACCGAATAGCTTACCTGGAAAACGCATTTTTTTTTCGTCAAAAAACCGATATTACGTATATACTACATAGCCGAGCATAATTTAGGCGCGCGACAAGCTGTGTTAGTTAACGTCGTGTTTCATTACTCCCCTATCATAAGACTTTGTGGAAAAGGAGAAGTTCCTCACCTGCCTTAGGTTAGTTTACGTTGGGTTTTGTCATCGCGTTCCCCTCCCATTGCATTATGTTAGTTTACGTTAGATTTATTCGCCCTTCACACCTCTTCACCATCAAAACATGTTGTGGATGGGTCGGTGAAGCGGGGAACCAAAATCCACTATTTTTCTCTAAATTACTCTACTATCATACATCTGTTTTATTATATTAACGTACTTTTTAGGAACTCTTTTTCTCATTAATAACCACTTAAAAACCTCTCTCGATACTTTATCATAAGCTTTTTCCAAAGCTTTTTCCATATTCGCATAATATCGAGGCACTTTCGCTGGCGTCGACGACGCGATGTTCGGCGTAATCCTTAGACGGCAAAATGGTTAGCAGCGTTGTAGGCGACGGTGCGCGGGTGCGGTTCGGCTGTCGACGTTGTCGCTTTCACAGCGGGAGGAAGACTCTCGCACCATTTTCGGCGGGTCGTCGTCGGCCGTGCGGCATTTGCTGGACTTTGCACCGTAGCGTATAACACGCGGTGTTGGTCAGTCAAATACTCATAGTAGGGCGACGGCTGATAAAGGTGGCACGAGTCGCGGGGCATCGTGTATAACGAAGCGACGCGGGCCGTGTCAAAACTAACCCTTAACCTGAACATCATAAACTAAGAAAAAATTATTATTAATACCCTCATGGCTCATGTTATCATTATCACCTAATTCAAGGTAGATATACTGACCAGTAGTCTNGTTTTAGTTTTATATATTTCTAGGTTTATCAATTCTAATAATTTTTTTAATTAACCATTTATACCTTAAAAGGAAGTCAACTTAATTTTTTTAAATTAATACATACATATTTAAAAATCTAATGAAATAAATAATCATATAATTCAAAAAATGATTGATCGGTGACAACTTTCGACATATTATTTAGAAAGTTATAACTATTTTAAAATAAAGAGCAAAGGAGATCTGATAGGGAAATTATAAAGCCTAAAAAATATTTGAATTTGTTATGTATTATTCGAGATATTTTTATTGATTATAGCTGAATGAAATATGTTATGTAATTAGTTCTACCCAATTCTAATGTAATAATTAATTATGTTTATATAATGTGTTATACTACTATCAATAAGGTACTTTTATGTATAATATTTGTGGAGGAAAATTTGAAAAAATTATTGATAAATTCTAAAATTTTCACAATTTATATGTATAATATGTAATCTAACAAGTATTTCGGATAAAAATTGTAATTATATAATTCGCATCTATCACTATTATTTCTAATTTTTGCAGGATCATTTTGATACCTATTAATTTTGTTTCTATTTTCATCATTAATGGCTGGACTTTCATCCTTAACTTCACCAATCTGTTTGACATAATCATCATTGAATTTATATAATAATGTGTAAATATCTTTAAGTTCACATAACTCACCTAAAAATTAATAATGATTGTACTTTCATTTCTATATGATACATATAAAAATATAATATTTAAAAATAAGTAATAAAATGATAATTTTGACATAGAAATAGGTTAAAATAATATTTGAAAAATAAATATGGAGAAAAATTTTCATTAGATTATATTTGTCTTTTACAATATTTAAGTACAGATAATAAAAGACAAATAATTAAATTAAATTAATATTAAAATTTACTTACATATTACATATCTATTAAAAATATTTGTGTAACGTATATCTATCTTGGGATTAATATTAGAAGTTTTGTTAGCGACTATAAAGATTTCCTTATAACAGTATAATTTTGTTAGAAATTCTTCTACTTGTTTCAGATCAACAATCAATACATTGAATAGATTGTTGACAATATCCTTTATGAAGATTCCAGATACATCAGTAAAGTCAATTTTGTTTTTATATAAAAATGATTTTAATGAATTCATTAATTCCCTAGCGGATAATATGAGATTTTGTTTATTTTTATTCATAAAAAACCTAAAGCATTCCGAAGTTTTCATTAAAAATTTAATAAAAACTTTAGTGGGACTGTCACCAAATAAATTCATATCGATAAAATGTTGAAAACATTCAATTATTCTCTCACCAACAGAAATAATATTTTCATAGAATTTTGAAGTTTCTTTTTGGTCACTATTAAAATCGTAAATGTATGTTGATGAACTAAGAATTTTAATAAAGAGTCTTACGAGTAAAGCAATAGGACGAAATGTTGCTGCTAGCATTAGTGTATGAAATACTTTTACATCATTTCTATAAATAGTATACTTGACATATCTAAATACATCATAAAGGGTCAAGCGACTATTATCAGGACAAATTACTGCAAGTGGTGCAAATCGAATTATGTCTAAATCATATAAATTCTGTTCGTTTGTTAACAATGGATATTGTTTATCCTGAAAACTTCTTATTATATCTTTTTCGGACATTTCGCAATTACTCGTCATAAGGTCATAAAATAATAAATTTTTCGGTAAAAAATCTCCGTATTTAGACCTTTTAATAGCTTTATTAAATAAAATATATACTTCACTGTATTGTAAGTTTTTTATATTATCATCAGTGTCGTTTTGTTGCTTATCAGTTTGTATTAATCGATTTTTAAGTTTTTTTGCAACATATTGAATATTTTCGGGAGTATATTCTCTTGATTCGTTGTAATCAGGACAATAAATAAATATTTCGTCAAATATCTCATAATTGCAATTATTGGATTTCATGTTCATAAACTGCTTTAAAAAAAAATCATGAATGATTTTGTAACCTTTAAGAATACTTGAAGTTTGATCCGACATATCATATATTCCGTCATTATTTCTACCATAAAAATCTACATATTCGGATACGTTATTGAAGTATAAGTTTACTGACATCAATACTGTTGAGTTTGTATTAGCTTCCCTTAACACATCTAACATTACTAATACGATTTCGCCATGAGTTTTTATAGCGTCGCCATATTTGTTTAAACTATGCACATCATATTTCTCTTTGTTTTCACTTATTTCAATTAAATATCGATTGTTATGATTAAAATAATTCAACATATACATGATAAAATTACAATGTAATCTTTGAAAGGATAATCCAAACGTTAAATGAATGTGGAATAATGTTATAATTTTTATTAAAATCATCTTTTGTCTTATTAATATAAATACTATCAGAACATTATTACTAATATAGAATAATTACTTTTAGTATTTTCCTGTACTTTTAGAATCTTTTATATATATATTTATAAATAATTTTTATTTTTAATTATTTACCATGTGATAAATAGTTGTATTTATGACTATTTGTTTAAGTGTTTTTAAAGTCATACATAAATATATCTTATGAAAATCATTTTAACTCTTTATAATTAAAAAAATTATTTAATTTTATGAAATAAGAATAAAATATTTTAAACATGATGTTTTCTTAATCATTTTTAAACAATACTTATACTTGACTTATTCAATTTTAAAACAAGAAAACCTAACGCAGCTTGGATGTGGTACATTGAGGAAATGACATATTTTGAACAAATATTGATGATATCTGACAGTGTTTAAAATCACTTTTATAAGACACGCTAAAATGCAAGTCTATAAATAGTGTTAAATTTAAATGATCTACTATTTTGTTATTTATATCCTAATAAGAAATTCTTTGATTTGTAAGGTGGTTACACTGGTCAGTAATATATAATATATTATCATTGTTAATATGCTGATATTTTCTAAAAAAGTAAGTTTAAGTAGTAGTACCTGTCAATGAGGATGCGGTGATAGGTGGAGATATGAATGGTCATATAGGTAACGACAAGAGAGGAATTATAGAGTATATGAAGGGCATGGTTGATATTTATTTTAGAAAGAGGGAAGAAAATTATATAACTTATAAGAGTGGGAGGAATAGACCACAGATTGATTATTTTATGTGGAAGAGAGAGAGCGTAAAGCGAGTAAAAGATTGTAAAGTTATACCACGTGAGAGTGTAACTACACATAGTGATGATAATAAGGTACTCTCGAGTTATGATGATGTGAAAAAAAGGTGGAAAGAGTATATTGAAAAATTACTGAATGAGGAGTAACCAAAAGAGACATTATGGGATATCTGGTGGAATAAGGGACTGGTAGAATTAATTAGCGAGAATCCAGGAATATACCTACTGCATACATTTTATTCTCTGCAGCTTTCCCTATCTTAGTAGTTAAGCAGTGTAGAGCTGTATCAGTAGTTTTCCCTGTTTGATACGCATGTTGGTTTTCATTTAAAGGGTTCTTCTTAAGAGGCCCTTCCTTGATGTACCTATCGATAAGTTTCTCCATAGTCTTAAGAAGAAAAGAAGTAAGACTTATTGGTCTGTAGGATTTTGCTTCATAATAGTTAGTGCGGTTAGGTTTGGGTATAAACACCACCCTAACCTTACGCCAGCTTTCTGGTTAATAACCATAGGTAAGGCATGCCCTAAATATTTTGCAGAGATGGGGGACGATTATCTCTAACCTTTCTTGCAGAAGTGCAAGTATAATTTCGTCACAGCCTGCAACTTTAAAACTGCCAAAGGCTTTTATTGCTCATCTTATTCCACTTGGAGTTATTACTTTCCTTGTTAGTCTCCAATCAGCACATGTTCCTGTTCTATGTTGTTAATTGCAAAGTCAGAAAAATGTGTGTTCATCAAATGTGATAATGTTTCATTTTCGTTATTGGTGAAAATTCCGTCTGGAAGTAGTATTGCCTCGATAATTTTGTTTGGTCCATTTCTTAGTGATCGCAGAAATCTAGTTGCTATAGGGAGTTGTTGTATATCCCCACAGAACTTCTTCCAGCTTTCTCTTTTGGACTTTTTCAATGCAGATTTGTAGTTCCTTTGGGCGTCCTTATAGGATTCCCATTATTGTCCCAAACCTGATTTCATTGCTTTATTTAAAAGCTTACGTGAACTCTTTCTTAATTTGGACAGGTTAGCATTCCACCAAGCTACGCCCTGCCCTGTACCTTTCCTTTCTATTAAAGGACAGTTTTCTTTGTAGGCCGAGACAATGGAGTCCTGTAGCATATTTACAGCCATTTCAGTACTCTGTCTCGACCCCAATCTAAACAGTAGGTTATTCAGGTCACGAGAGAGTTCTGCCCTGTAGTTGTCCCAGTTTGTTCTTTTCGGGTTCCTATAGTACTCCGTCTCAACTTTGTTAATTTCCAAAGTGAAACGTAAGTGCCTATGATCAGAAAGAGAAGGTTCGGAGGACACTTTACACCCTTTTATCTTTTGAAGTAACCCTTTTGAACAAACTGTCAGATCAATGACTTCCTGTCTGTTCCTGATAACAAAAGTAGGTTCATTACCTCTATTCAGTATACATAGGTCTGTAGTCAGTAATAGATCCATTATAACCTCTTCTCTTTGGTTGATGTTACTGCTCCCCCAAATAGTGTGGTGTGCATTAGCATCCATACCTAGGATTAGTTCTAATTTTTCATTTTTGCAATAATTAAAGAGGATAGTTAGGTCCCTACCTAGGTCTGTGACCTCATATGGTAGGATTCCTGAAGCTACTATTATATTTTTACCATCATTTAGTGTTACTTTAATAATAGTCAAGTCTGCACTTGATAGATTAGGTATCAGGCTTACTTTGACTTTATTATTAACCAAAATGCAAGTTCTTGGTTTATCTGCTTGTTTATGAAACAGTTTAAAATCCCTTAGATTTAGCCCCTTAATCTGGTCACCATTTATCCATGGTTCCTGAATAAGTGTTATTTGTATGGGTATTGTATGCCTCTCAGTTAGGGTCCTTAGTAATACACTGCTGGCCCCTTTACTGTGATGCAGGTTTATTTGCGTGAATTGAATTCTATTGTCAGCCATTCAGAAAAACTGATGTTGACGCTTAAGAAAGCACGCTGTACTGGGTGTGATACAGGTGTCTGAAACTATATGTTGGGGGAGAGCTAAGAAAGAAATGACCACTCAAAGAATTCTCATCGTCGTATCGAAATTAAAAAATTGTTATTAAATGTTGAAATATTTAGACGATTTGCTATTCATTAAAACTATCACTTTGTTAATAACTAATTTTATTTAATTAATAATCTGGTCACGCATAATGCAATAGAAATCCAAATTTTTGTAATATTTTAGCCATACTCGATGACAACATGATAGTCTTGTCATGTACTATATGATAATTATGCCTGTGTGCATAATAATTCTGAAATGCAGAGTATTCAATACGGCTGATATGATTTATATATTTTTGTTAATATAAACATTTGTTTACCATGTCACTTGCATTTTCTAGCAATAAACTTTTTAATTCGTCTCTATATGTATTTGGGTTGAACTTTTTATTGAAATGTGACTTATTTATTAAAAAGATAGCATAGTATATTACATAAATTCCTGTGTCGTTCCTGGACTCACAGCTGTCGTTCGAGTCTATCGAGCCTTCGACTACATATAGATCCGACTTGGATTGGGTGCTTATTGACTTGGTGCACTGCCGAGTGAGATTTCGGTATCGCCTAGAGCGGTTCTTCCAATGTGTAATATAGGTCATTATTTTGTAAAACTGAAAGTAAGGCATTTATGTAATGTTTGGTTTAATTGTATTTTCTTGATCTATTGTTCTAAATAAAATATAGTCTATTATTTGTAAAGCTAGATGTAAAATATTTTTGTAATGTTTGGATTAATTATAATTCCCTGAATTATTGTTATTGGACCAAGAAATAAATATTTATAAACATTTTAGAAAACGATTGTACTATGAATTTTGTAAAAAAAAAAAAAAGAAAAAGAAAATATCTTAGTATACAGGGTGATTTTTTTATCATAACCCACTCAATTACTTACAGAATAATAATAATTAAAAATTTTTTTTTTATTACTATCTTTAGTTACACATTATTCTTGAATTATTAACTATGTAATACTTTTTAAGTTCATCCCTTATGCCTGGTAAGGGTGTCAACTTTGTTTTTTTAAATGGTAACACATATTTTTAATTTAATAAAATGTTTGAGTTTTCAATTCAATAGTAAATGGCATTTAAATTTTTAATATAACTTTATTCGTTTATTAGATATAAACATTTAAAGTTTCAATTTTTTGAGTTAATATACATGTATAATACACTAGGGATTAAAATTACAGGTAGCTAATTGGTTTTTTATGACATCGATATTAGCAGGTACAAAGCATTGTTATTATCAAATATAGTAAGACACATTGTTGTGAGTTTATAAATACACTAACTGACAATACAGAATGTATATCTATTGATAGTCATAATTGATAATAAACAATCCGTGACTGTGATAGCAATATCATAAAAAATCAATTAGCTACCTGTATTTGTAATCCCTTGTGTATTATACCTATATATTAACTCAAAAAATTGAAACTTTAAATGTTTATATCTAATAAACGAATAAAGTTATATTAAAAATTCAAATGACATTTGTTATTAAATTAAAAACTCAAACATTTTATTAAATTCAAAATATGTGTTACCATTTAAAAAAACAAAGTTGATACCCTTATCAGGCATAAGGGATGAACTTAAAAAGTATTACATAGTTAATAATTCAAGAATAATGTGTAACTAAAGATAATAATAAAAAAAAAATTTTTAATTATTATTATTCTGTAAGTAATTGAGTGGGTTATGATAAAAAAATCACCTGTATAAGACGAAATTGAATGAATTAAATGAGGAGAAGACCTCGGGAGTACCGAAGGTAATCTTTTTTTCGCATAGTACG